ATGTTGCAGAAAAGACATTGTCGTTGTCGTCCCTCAAGCCGGAGTGGTAGCTAGCCCTCGAAGGAATTCGCGCAGGCAAGTGATGTAAATATATGATTGATAGATTTTTAATGCAATTAAGACTATCAGATTTAATATATACACTTAGACTTAGCATATATGATTGTCTAGGGTTCTAATATACGACACTTAGACTTAGCATATATGACTATTTGAGTTTTAATATAAGATTATTAGAGTTCTAATACAAGATTATTTGAGTTTTAATATAAGATTATTAGAGTTCTAATACAAGATTATTTGATTTTTAATATAAGATAGACTTAGTATATAATTATTGTCTAGGGTCCTAATATACGACACTTAGACTTAGCATAGTTGACTATTACAGTTTTAATACAATATTATTTGAGTTTTAGTATAAGATTATTATAGTTTTAATATAAGATTATTAGATTTGTAATTAGACTTAGCATATACGACAGTTAGACTTAGCATATATGATTGTTAGCATATAAGATTGTTAAAGCAAAAATGACCTATAGACTTAGCAACTATTTCTTGTATGAACAGATGGCTAATCGCGATGAGGAACAGATATTGTATGATACAATCGCGGAGGGAAGCAGCCAGTACTGGAACGAAGAAGAGGGGAACGAGGATCCATACCAGTACTTGAACGGGGAAGGGAACGTGGAGAGGGATGCGGAGAGGAACCAGGAGGGGAACGTGGAGAGGGATGTGGAGGGGAACCAGGAGGAGAAGGCTAGTGGAAATCAACCCTCCGCTGGACAGAAGAGGGCACGCGGGCAACGAGGTGCTGCGAAGAAGCTAGAGAGTCGGCACATCATAACGAAAGTGGACGAAGACGGCCGACCTAGTGCCTCGGCGGAAGCAGCCAAGAACTACGTATGATACAGCGGTTGGGTTGTGCGGGATAACGTGCCTGTCAGTACGGTGTACTGGGGCAGAACAAGGGCACGCGGAGATCATGAGAGCTTTGTCCCAGATTCGGAGAAAGAGATGCTGTGGACCACAATGCTCGAGACATTCACCCTTCCCGCGGGTACAGAGGACAAAGTGAAAAGGTGGACTCTAAAGAAAATGGCAGAACAGTTTCAGAGCTTCAAGGAAGATCTGTACCAGAAATATATCCTGAAGGGGCAGACACCGAACTTCGACACATTCCCAAAGCTATGGGATCACTGGGATGAGTTCATTGCATATAAGATAGGTCAACAAGTGCAGGCGATGATGGAAAGAAACAAAGAAAATGCCGCCAAGAAGAAGTACCATCACCACTTGGGGTCAGGCGGCTATAGCGTCGTGATGCCGAAGTGGGAGGAGATGGAGGCAAGCTTGCTTGAGAGGGGTATCGAACCAGCCACCGCTAAATGGCCGGATCGATCGAAGTTCTGGTACTATGCTCACGGTGGAACGCTCAACCTAGTTGATGGCTCCCTAGTCTTCAGCGATCAGATACGCGAGGCTGCGCGTCGACTAACGAACGCAGTGGAAGCCTCTTCTCAGGGCACGTTCCGACCCGACAGAGAGAAGGACGAGCTGTCACTCGCCCTGCAGACTCCAGAGCATCCAGGACGAACACGAGGGAAAGGGGTGATTCCTTTGAAGATTGGGTTCAAGGAGGACATCCACACGTACAGGAGTCGGATGAGGAGCAAGAGAGATACCGAGGTGAAGATTGTAGATCTTGAGTACAGGGTATCGAGCTACGAGCTCAGCATGCAAGAGGAGGTGGCAAGGAAGGTTGATGAACGCATGGCCACACATCGGTCCCATGATCCCCAGCCGACCATTCCTCCTGCAATGGTGAGCCCTTCAGGAAATCGTAGCAGCTGCGCCTCAACGGGGCAGGTAGGATCACAGAGCATGGACACCATGCAAACCCAGGACGAAACCACCTGCCCCATTGATGACATCACTCAACGGACACCATGTGAGCTGCATATTCCCTTCAAGAACTTATCAATAAAGGTAAGCTCGTAGTTTGTAGATTTTATATTTGTCCATTCCGCTAGTTGCTGCTTATATATGTTGATTACTAATAAATAACCTTTCACCACGTGAAGGTGGCGTCGGGCATGGCCATCCCAACGAACCCTTCAGGTACTTACCACTGCAGGCCGATTCCAGCAGGATACTCCAAAGTCGAAGTTGAGTTGGTCGAAGGCGCGTACGAGGACCTCGAGTTGGATTACCCTGGAGGAGACGGTGAGACGCATCTACGAGACACAAGCCACGCCATTATACTATGGCGCAAGCGGTACATCATCCTCCCTGGACGACAAGCGGTGTCTCGTGCACCATCTCCTCCAGCTCCGCCATCTCCTCCTCAGGCTCCTGCACCGTCTCCTCCTCATGCTCTAGCACCGTCTCCACCTCAGGCTCCTGCACCGACTCCTCCTCAGGCTCTTGCACCGACTCCTCCGCAAGCTCCTCGTCCGGCACTTTCCAAGTCAAGGGCCCCCCAAGCTCCACCGCCTGCCCCCACAAGGGCAACGAAGAAGGCGAAAGTTGATGCCGCCAAGAACAAGGACCCGGGGTACGATTGCACGCAAGAGGAGCTTGACGCTTATGTGGCATCCGAAGTCGAAGTCAGGAGACAGTTGAAGCCTCGAAGTCCAGAAAAGAAGATTCCTATAGACCCGAGTGTCAGGAACTTCTTCAGGGGTATGTCTGCACCTGCCAAGGAGGCCATAAAGCTATCGGACTATGAGCGAACACTCAAGAAAGCATCTTCTGAAAAGTCCAAACCAGTCCCTCAGCTTGGAGAGCAACCAAACCAAGAGATTGAGCCATTGGTGACCGGTGAAGATTTTGGAATACAAGAGTTTATTAATGACACCGGGCTAACTACGGATCAATTGCTACGAGGCGCACCAATCAAAAAGGTTAAAGTCAAATACATGTACGAACTCGGTAAACCGCTTGTCAAGCCTGAGCAGCTGCAGTCCCTACCCACACAAATGTACAAGTTCCATCAACTGTACATGGAGATGAGCGCCACCGGTAGAGAGATGATCGGAGCGAGGATCAGGGACACGGACTTCTTGCAAGTAGATGACATTCTCTGGATCAATTTCAAGGGTATCTACAAACTATACCAGCTGGACGCCCTCGACGTCTCTATTATGAGTTGCTGGATGTTATAAGTATCGTTCAATTAGATTTCTTATTACGTTTCCTTTAATTAATTAGGTCCTTGTATATAAGTAGACTATATATAATATATACTTCCTTTTATCATTGTAGAATGGAGATTCAAAGGGCCCAACGGCGGGGGGTTTTCGATACTGGATTCATCGACCCTCGGAAAGTAAACGTCGCAATGCTCGACCAATATCCGCAAGCCACAGAGGACAATCTCGTCCATCTCCTGAAGGCGCAGCATTACAAGATGTTCATACTGTTGCCGTACAACACAGTGTTAGTTTAATTTTACTGTCTTCCTATACCAAATTTCATTCCCGTACGAACATGCTAAGTGTTTCATATGTAATGCATCCCACACACATTGCAGATTCCACTGGGTCCTTTTACTCTTCGACCTGGAGGCCTGCACCGTCAACATATATGACTCAATGGATAAAAAAGAGTCTACGTTTGACAAGGTTTTCGAACTTATAGACAGGTACTGTCATAAGTTCCTATGTTAATTAAGAATCTTGTTATAATTAATTGCTACTATGAATCATAGCTTTAAACTCCATGTAGGGCTTGGTATCGGTTCCGTCATTTGGTCCGCGGCAAATGGAGAGAAAGACTTAGGCGGAAGTTCAATTTTCCTGTGAGTACACATGCTCTACATTTATATTGAATCTCCAATTCAAATACATACAAGTGTATATTAATTAGATCTCTCGCTGTTTGTCATTTATTTATAGTGCGCAAAGCAAAAGCAGGGAACTAACTTGTGCGGCTACTACGTGTGCGAGTATTGCCACTGCCTTGCAGACCAAATCATCTCTACAAGAGAGCTCGATGTACGTACAAATAAATTCAAAATTTCATTGCGTACATATCGATTTGTTGTTTAATTACTAATTAATTTCATACATTCATATAGTTTATTCCCATGAGGGATAACTTGATCACACACAAGGAATTTATCGCGGCGGTTCAAGAACAACTCATAGGATTCATCAACGAACAAATCCTTGATCCCAAAGGTGAATTCTACTACGATGGAAATACAATTCATAGGTCTTTAGCTTCTGAGATAACGACTACTACTACGTTGAAATTGTAGCTAGCTAGGACATCATAACGGATTGTAATTAATACATGTCTATTTTTCTATATGCATGTACACATTTTCTTTAATGTAAATATATATTTTGGTCATATATATATATATATATATATATATATATATATATATATATATATATATATATATATATATATATATATATATATATATACATGCAAAAAAAAAGGTCAGCTCGATCCTTAGTCCCGGTTGGTAACACCAACCGGGATTAAAGATGGCTCAGCCGGTCACGTGGCTGAGCCATCTCTAGTCCCGGATTAGTAGTCCCGATTTGAAAACCGGGACTAGGGAGGGTTACGAACCGGGACTACAAACGCTTTCTCCACCAGTGCATAGAGTAATCTTACCATCCAGCATTTTGTTTCTCGAGATACCACAAAATTTTGGTACCTCGAGATATCAAAATTTTATGTGTAAAATATGGTATCTCGAGATACCGAATGTTGGATGGCTCTTAACCATAATGACATCTAATAAGGATAATCAAACATGGTCACTCAAATGTGATATTCGGCGAGCACATGTGACATGTGCATGTTCTTATTTTTCTTGCATTGGACACTTAAAAGTATTGTAGATGTGGACGACGGTAGAGTTAATTTCAGTGTCACGGGGGGTGCATGGTAGGTGGTTCAAAGGTAACCTATCTGCCATTAATCATTGACTTGTACATCTGTCTTGCTAGAGTCTTTCACAAGATTACAAATTTCACATAACACGAAGGAATCATCGCATGAGAGCGATGTGCTGATCAGTTGACCTGGCAGTAGTTGACTTGAGACGAAGATGAACACAGGCCTAATAAGAGCGTCAATACTTCTAAGATGTGCCACACTTCAATTCCTTGCGAGCTGAAACTGAAGCTAAGGTTGAAGCCATGGGATATTGCTTCAAATTTTGAAGTTAATGAAGAAGCCAAAGTTTCTTGTTCAGTGAGAAGAACATTTCTGTCAGAGTTATTCACAAGGTAACTAACTAGTAATCCCCATTCTTGCTATTCTTTGAATGCTGCAAGAGTGTGTTGTTTCGATTGCCTTGAAAGAAACGAATTTACAGCTCCTTTATGTCTAGATATAGTTATCTGCTAGCTAGAACAGAGCACGAGATTACTAGTTAGCAGAAAAGAGTACTGTTACATGAGCAAATTCTTAACACACACTCCATGGGCCATGGCTTAGGGTCTCAGACACTCACAGTGTCTTATCACCAATTAGGTACATGAGCAAAGATTTGATTTAACCTTTGAGATACATTAATTCGTGCAAATTGCTATGAAAAATTAAAAAAATATTTTATAACTTAGCTTGTGTTGTATTGTAGCTTAAGACACAATTCGTATAAGTAGAACAAAAGAGATGCCATTATAAAATTAAAAAATAGTGTTGAACAACATGGGAGCAAATGCCGCACAAATTTAGAGTGTACTGGTGTAATTTTGCCAAAACAGTTTGCCCATATTCCTGAGCACTTCCTTTCTAAAAGTTTCATAAAATCGCCATCTGCAGAACGAAGAGAAGGATATCTTTGAATATATCTTAGTGGGATATTATGGAGGCAGCAATTGTATCAGGGATCACCAAAGAGGTTATCACGTCACTGAAAACTTCAGCCGTTAATGAGATAGCTAAATTGGTGTGTGTCAAAAAGGAGATCAAGAACCTCACCGTAACATTTGACGATATCTGTGCTCAAATAAGAGGCGCAGACCAGATTGTTGCACACTCTGAAGCAACAAACTACAGGCTCAAGCTGCTGAGAGAATATGCCTATGAGGCAGAAAACATCATCGATCTCTTCAGTATTGAACTTGGGGGAATGCAAGAACCACGACTGCAGGTCAGAAACATATCATCCTTCCCATGCACTCCTCTTCTCTTATGCCCCGTTTAGTTCTCAAAACAAAAAATTTCACGCTGTCATATTGAATACTTGAAACTTGCATGGAATATTAAATATAGAAAAAAAACAATTACACAGATTACATGTAAATTGCGAGATGGATCTTTTAAGTCTAATTGCGCCATGATTTGACAATGTGGTGCTACAGTAAATATTTGCTAATGACAGATTAATTAAGCTTAATAAATTTGTCTCGTATTTTTCTAGCGGAATATGTAATTTGTTTTGTTATTAAACTACGTTTAATACTTCAAATGTGTGTCCGTATATCCGATGTGATAACCAAACCTAAAAATTTTCCCCAACTAAATAAGGCCTTACTCTCTTGGGTTGATATATTATGCGAAAAGAACAACATACTTGAAACTTGAATTGACCCTGGAGCGTAACTTTAGAGAGCATTTAAACTATTCACCCAATGATGAAAATGGCATTGTACCCAAGCCCCTAGATTGACCATGGTATTTTACCTAAACCCATTTAACTACATATACAATGATGGATTCAACCGAATCCACTCTTTTGTGATGGTACATATACAATTTTCCCACCCTTAAACCCAATTAAAAGTGGATTTGTGAAGAACCCTTTCCACCTCATTGTCACTGGTGAGAAAGAGGGGAGAGATAGAGGAGGAGAGGAAGGAGGAGGAAGAATAGTGGTGGAAAGAAGGGTAAAAAAAATATATGATGAGAGTTGTTATGCTACAAGATACCATCCGGACGGGATGATACCAGTGAAATATCAAGTTCTGTTACGGATCAGTATTAGATGATACCTATGAGGTATTAGGTGTGATACTTGTGAGGTATGTGCGATACTTGCTAAGTATCAGACTGATACCCATAGGAATCGACTGATTCTTGTCTGATACTAGTGGCGAGGAGGAAAGCCAGATGTACATACATGTTGTTGCCGGTGGGGAGGAAGAGAACCAAATCTTGTGCATCCAGTCACCGGTGGCAAAGATGAAGAGAGAGAAGGGGAGGACAAAATTTGTACTTCCAGCCAAGAGAAAGACCACCAGATTTCACACATCATGGACAACCAATGCTGAAATCCTGATGGTCTCTGCCATCATGAGAGTCCCAAAGCTCACCGACCTCCAAGAGACGCGAGCTGTGGCTTTAGGTGCCCTCACATAGTCACGCGGTGCACAAAAATGTATAGACTGCGTGAGGTCCAGCTCCACCATTGCCGCCGCCAAAGTCGAGCAAGGTTTAACTTTGCCAGCCGACACGTGGTCCGTCTCTTCATGCATTGAGATCTGAAGAAGGTGGGAGGAAGCAATTTGATGGAGGAGATGGGGGAAGGATGAGAGCGAAGTGATAGAAAGGTATGTGCGTGGGGAGGGGGGTGGGGATCCCGTCTGAAATAGCTAGAACGGTGTCCAAGTTAGTAGCATTTGCATAAAAAAATAGAGTTAATTTCATTTTGGATCATCTTTTGTTACTGATGTTTTATTTTGAATCACCCTTTAACCAACATTTTTATTTTGGGCCGAGCATTTTTACCTTTGTGACACTAAAAACTACTCTTAACTCATTTATCTATCTACATCTAATTTATCATATGTCAAATAAATTATCTTGTATATAGTAGTGATAGTTCATTGATGAGTAGGAGTGAATATACTTGACTCGGTAGTCTAAATTGAAACAAATGTAAGATTATCTAGTCTAAAATGAAAACCACCATTAGTTAAGGGGTGATCTAAATTCCAAAGTAACCATTTTTAGAAAAGGTCCTTTTTAGTTCCCACACAAAAATTTTACACCCTGCCACATCGAACGTTTGAACACCTGTATAAAATATTAAATATAGGCTAAAAAATAACTAATTACACAGATTGCGACTAATATGCGAGACGAATCTTTCAAGCCTAATTGCTCCATAATTTGATAATTAGGATTAATTAGGCTTAATAAATTTGTCTCGTTGTTTATTGACGGATTCTGTAATTAGTTTTTTATTAGTGCCCAAACTCCCTATACAACACTCTATATAATATACTCAATGTGACACGCTCAAACCTTACACTCTGGATCTAGACACCCCAAAACGTGACACAAAGGGAAATTTTTTACTTTAAAAAAAAGAGAACATTTCGCCCCCATCTTTCATAGAAGAAGCGAGAATATTCTCCATATCAGGTGACCTCATCGACGACCTCGCCGGAGACCTCACCGGCGAGTGGCGACCGCGCGCTGATGGGCGGCGACGGCGACCCCCCTCACCTCGTCTTCTTCCTCCCGGACCACGTTCTCGTCTTCCTCCTTTCAGATCCTGGCATCTCCATCCTCTCCGCGCCGGCTAGGCTACCTCTCGAGGCCACCGCCTCCACCGGAGCTCATGCCGACCGCCGTTGCAGCCGGAGCATCCCACTTCGACCGCCGCCGGCGCTGCCGGATCTACTGGGGGCCTGCTTCTGGTTCGTTTCTCTGCCCACACCAATTCATTTGCAACAGTTGCATCCCAACAGAGATTGAATCGAAATGCGGCCTCCATTTTCGTCCCCGATTTCTGTGGCAACCACAAACTAAAATTGGAACTAAAGAGCAGATTTAATTCAGTTTGGATTTGAATTGGAGGCTCATTTCAATTATTCTAGTCCAATTCCGTAAAACCAACTGGAGCCAATAAATCTGTTCGCCTTTTTTCTCTAGCCAATAAATCTGTTCCCAAGTATTCCACGAAATTCATCAGTGTGGAATATTTATGCAATGCATGCATGAAAACTTCAAATATCCATGTCATCAATAACCAAAGAGATAAGTAGATAAAATTTCAAGAGTAAATTAACCATCATATCTATCTAAATTTTTTTACTATTTCCCCAGCAAGTTCACGTATTGACAAACTGCCATTTACAGTCAAATTGTGCAAGATGTAAAATAGTAGACCATGGAACATGGTAATTATCACTATTCATTATTATTCGGTAATTAACCCTAAACATGGTAATTATCACTATTCATGGTTAATTTGCCCAGGGGCGGAGCTAGAACGAAATGGAGGGGGTGCCATTTGCTTAATTTACTCTACTTTATATTGAGTTTAAGCTGATGCGGGTGCCTAAATTTGTATCGAGGGTAGTGTATACATGGTGAAAATAGGTGAGTTCTAGCTACGAAATTTTCTTAACCGGGTTTCTGGCACCCCCCCCCCCTCCTCAATACCCTAGCTCCGCCCCTGATTTGCCCTTAATGAGCCATCCTGAATCTAAGTACTACGATTTTTGGGACAATACTGTCATCAACATAAGGGGAATATTCCCTAAGTAGAATGAATGAAGACAAGTACCCAAAACACCTTTATATGCCATTGCTGTCTACCCTCCATATTAGCCTCACTGTTGAGTGTAGATGAAGGTAGAAAAACACCGAAGACACTAATATTTCCACGTGATGTAAGTCCACAAGCCAGGAAAAGAACAACAGAGAAGGCATAAACCCTTGGTTGTCCCACCCAACCTCACTCTTCGATTTGGTGTGTCAAGATGTCATCCAGTAAAAAATCGCTTATTTGTCACATAGTTGGGTGCTGTCCTCAATTTTTCTACAAAGTTTATTGGCTTTGCTGAAATCAGTACTAAACTTGAAGTTTTGCGATAGGTGGTTTTCGTGTTGAAATAGTTTTGTCGAAGTATGTGTATTTTTGCTAAACTACTCTTCGTGTACTGTAGTATGTTGAGTTGCATTATATAAGCATGTGTATACAGTTTTGACATGTAGCCATGTACTAAGACAAAACTGAACAATATTTCTGTGCAGGAACGAAATGCTTCATCTGTATGTAGATGTTGCAGAGAAGTTGGTGTCAGATACAAGGCGGCAAATGATATCCAAGAACTAAACAAAAAATTAGAGAGAATTACGCCAACACTGCTCCAGGAACTGTGTAGAGAAGATCGACAAAGCAATATTACTACTCCTCAACATGATGAGTTCATTACTATTGGCAGAAATATCGCAAACGAGTGCGATAATCTCTTTAGGCTACTGCGAGGTAACCAAGCTGGTCAATGCCTTTTTGCTATAGTTGGTGCTGTTGGAGTTGGCAAGACCACACTCGCTCAAAAGATATACCATGATACAAAGAATAATTTTAGAACCAGGTTATGGGTGCACGTCTCGAACGACTCAAGGAACCTGGGGATATGGCGGGGGGAGAGTTTCTTGGGAACAGGAGAAACTGCAGTGCAAAGAGTGGTGTTGCGTGAATATTTAATAAATGACAGATACAGAAGGCTGTTGCTGGTGATCGATAATGTGTGGGAAGAGAATGGCTGGAACCAGTTCTTGGGGCAGGATTTCTGTCGCGGTGGAGACACAGTGCTGCTTGTGACTACACGACATGAGTGTGTTGCGAGAACCATGGGGATAGCCCGTTGTCACCGTATAAGAAGGCTCAGCGAGGACGATGGTTGGTTGCTGCTTCGCACAACGGCTAACCTTAGAGAAACTGAGGCTACAGGCAACATTCAAGATGTTGGGAGAAGAATCGTGCAAAAATGCAGTGGCCTTCCGGTTGCAGTAAGGACAATCGGGTATCACCTCAGGGGAAAGACCCTAGAAGATGAATGGGAGAGTGTGTACTTGGAGGATTTTGTTGCCACTTACCCAGAGATACGGAACAGCATCGATGCAAGCTACATGAAGTTATCTTATCGCCTCAAGCGTTGTTTCCTTTACTGCTCACTGTACCCAGAGGGTAATGTGATAGAAAAGCAATGCATCATGCAGCAGTGGATTGCAGAAGGGTTCTTTTCTGAAGTACCACTACAAGTACAAGAAGAGGAAGCTGAAAGATGTTACCAGGAACTGATAGACAGATGCCTTCTTCTGCCAGAGGACGAAGCTCATGGTGTGACGGGGGCTAAGATGCTAAACCTCTTCAGATCATTTGCAATTTATCGGTCACAAGATGAGAACTACGTAAGCAATCCTCGTAATATCGGCAGAAATTTCAAACCATGGCGCCTGTGTGTCACAAATGGAGGTAGAGTAGAAGACATCCCAGATGACGCCACAAGCTTAAGGTCACTCTTTTTGTTTGGGAGTCCACAGATTAATGGAAAATCCTTGGAATTTATCTTCAGTAAGTTAACAAGCCTAAGAGTTCTGGACCTTAGACATACACAAGTTGATAATATTAGCACCTATCTCAAAAAACTACACAAACTCAAGCAACTCAGGTATCTAAACCTTTCTAATACTAGGATAAGCTCAATTCCTGCTAGCATTGGGAGTTTGACAATGCTACAATTTTTAATCCTTAAAAATTGCCCACTTCTAGAGTCTCTACCAAGATGTGTTGGCCACTTGAAAAAACTGAGAAGCCTTGATATCTCAGGAACTCCAATGCTAAATGTCATCCAATTCAACCTTCTCGAACTTACAGAACTCAACTGCTTGCAAGGTTTTGTCCCAACCACCTCAGTACAGCAAAACAATAATGGGGATGGTTGGAAATTTGAGGAGGTAAGACCCCTGGGTAATCTGAGGAACCTCCAGATGGTAAAGCTAGAGAGAGCTTCATCGAGCAGAGGCGACCTGGGCCAATTGAATCTGCATGAGAAGCCCAACCTCAAAGAGCTCGAGTTATGTTGCAGCTCTGCTGATCCTCAAAACAGAGACCGTGATGCAGAGCATATAAAAGCTGTCTTTGAGGCACTTAAGCCTGCTCAATGCCTCGTTTCTCTTAAGATAGCTAACTATTATGGCGATCAGTTTCCATCTTGGTTTTCAAATTCCCATCTGACAGTGCTGCAGCGGCTAACCCTTGACCTTGATGACTGCTTACCTAGTTGGGATCTACCACCCCTAGGTCAGATGATGAATCTCAAGTTCCTGAAAATAACAGCTTCCAATCTCTTACCTGATGCCAATAACAGACAACTTCGAGGTGAACCAAGAAACGGCAAGGCATTTCCACGCCTGGAGCAACTGGTCCTAGGCAAGATGGAAAGCCTGGCACCATGGTCGGTTCTTCAGGAGGGTGACTTGCCTTTGCTTCGTGTTTTCCACCTTGATGGATGCTCACAGCTGAATTCAATTCCTTCATGGCTCCAGAGCTGCAGCAAATTGACAAGCATGAAGATAAAAAATATTGATACTCTTCAAGAAATTGCTAGCCTGCCTTCACTCAAGGAACTAGAGGTTCACAATAGTGGCAGGCTACAAACAGTCCTCAACATCCGCAGGCTTGAGGATCTCACAATTTCTGACTGCCCAGTTCTTGCAGCTGTGGATGGTGTTCCTTTGCTGTGCTCTGTGCACATCAAAGAACAGTCTGCCCAGCTACCACAGTGGCTGCAGCAGAAATCGTTCGTACTCAGGAGATTGGATATCATTGGCACCGAGGTGCTACTCGACAGATGCTCCTCGCCTATTGCTCAGTACGGGTCTATCATTCAAGCTGCTGCTGAACATGTTTATGCGAAACTGGTTGATGGTTCGTTCTACTTCTCCTACAACAAAAGTACCAGTAGTTTCCAGAGAAGCCGACGATGCATTGAGCGCCTTACAGTGGATGGTTTACATAACAATGCTGTGCCTCCGGATAATTGGAGAGCATGGATGGTGTACACGCTTTACGCTATCCTGGTGATTGCTTCTTCTTTCCTATTCAGTGGACTTCTGAGACCAATGGATGAAACTCCGCAGCATCCGCAATGAAGAAACGCTTCACGGTGTCAAGCATGCAAGAGCAAAGCATGCTGCTGTTGGACAAGCTACATACAGTAGCTGATGAAGTTCAGTGCCAATCATACATGGTTGGAGGAATCAGGCTGGACTACTGTCTACTGCAATGAATTTTCGATGAATTGGCTTCTTTAAAAGTATAAGCAGCTAAAGTTTTGTTTTGTTCCCATGTTGCAGTAACTCTGTAACTGTGGTCAGGTGTCCTTCTGGTTTTGTGTCAGGGTTGCTTGACCTTTGCTAACATGTATCAGGAAATGATAAAGGAAGAAGGATAGCTTTGCCATTTTTACCAGCATAAAAATATAAAATTTGGCAAACGAGTGAATTTCCAACGAACACTCTAGTTAATTATCTCAGGATTCAGTCTGTTCCATCTTTTGGTTCTTCTTGTTTTTGCCTTCCTTTTCTTTTTGTTAACCTCATTGCTGTAGATGTGGATTCAAGGATTGGAGAGTGCATACAGACCATTTTGTAATCCACATTCAGAGAGATTGAAATTGATAATTTGGAATTTTGATCTGGAGTCAGGCTTTGGCAAGATCTAGCTAGGCAAATCTCTTGTTCTCTTCTTGATAAAGTTCCTGATATATGATGCATTTTTTATGCATTTTTAGTTGTGTTCCTAATGTCAGTATTCTCCAAATTCATTAATACAGGATGGAGTTGAACTGGCTGCTGCCTTTCTAATATCAGAAAACAATACTACCTTTAAAAGCCTAAAAGTTTGACCGTCCTAAACATCAAACTTCAAAGGTTTCATGGGGCATATAAATGAAGATAGATAGAGCAATATATATAGACATTTCCAATTAGAGATGGCCTAATCAAACTAATTGAATATACCTAGATCAATAGTACTTTTGTAGTAGCTTTTCAATTATCAGAAAACAATACTAGCTTTTTTAGCATTGCCAAAAAAACCGAATCTACTAGAGAATCTTACCAAATCATATCTTACTATAAAGTTATCCCCTACTAACTCCTTAAGCTTAACATGCAAAGATGTCACATCATCATCCACTAATAAGATGTCACATCATCATCCACTAATAATCATCATATTTAAACACATGCAAACATGCTATATCTTTATAGTTTGTATAATTTAAGAGCTTTTCAAATATATACAAACATGTTAAATTATCATCCAACATAATTCACATAATGTTTCAATGTATATTTTTATTATGTTTTATGATATCCTATATACTTATATAGTTCATCATCACTTAGTTAGTGCTTAAATGATTAATCTATGGTTCAAATTATGTTTCTCTTTTTTTCCTCTAATTAAGTCATATCACATCAATTGTTTTTAGCCTTTAGATGATTAATTTAGGGTCCAAACTACCTTCCTACTTTTCTTCTTACATAAAGTCATATCACCTTACTTTTTACGTTTGAATCACCATTCTACATACTATTTAAATTTAAATTATCATAAACCACATTAATTTACTTAATCTGATGTTATCTAGCTATCTTACACGTTATTTTTTTATTGTTGTCATACTAAATTCCCGCAGCAATGCGCGGGGTTTCACCTAGTTTTGATATTAATAGAGACCTCAAATGAAATCATACCGCCTGAGTAAACGAAAGAAGCTCACAACACTTGTGCCTGCAGTTTTTGGTTTCAAGAGTTTAGACTCCGTTTAGACTAACACTTTTAAGTTCCTATCACATCGAATGTTTGGACACTAATTATAAATATTAACCGTAGGCTATTAATAAAACCCATCCATAATCATGGACTAATTCACGAGACGAATCTATTGAGTCTAATTAATCCATGATCAGCCTATGTGATACTACAGTAAACATTCTCTAATTATGGATTAATTAGGCTTAAAAAATTTGTCTCGCGAATTAGCTTTCATTTATATAATTAGTTTTGTAAGTAGTCTATATTTAATACTCTAAATTAATGTCTAAATACAGGGACTAAAGTTAACCCTGGATCCAAACACCACCTAATAGACGGGCTGCTGGCCACCCCAACCACGCCATCCCCTCTCCCTTGGAATGGGGGATGGCAGATCGGCAGTGCGACGGCAACGCCACCTCCGACCGGTGAGCCCAACCGGCGCTTCCCACACCACCCCCTTCTTCCTCCTCCTCCTCACCTTTCCTGCAGTGCTTTCTTCCTCTCGCCGTGGATCTTTTTTATTTTAACGACTCGCACGAGACGGTGCGATTGATATAGCAGAAAAAAAATTACAAGATTACAGCCTGGAAGGTCGTAACCAGGAAAAATGAAAAAATATACCACCACCCCACACACCGACAGCGCCAATACACAGGTCCAGGAGAAGGCTATCGCTGGTATATATGGGTGAGACTAGCTTTTAGGTTCCTGTGCTCTCAGTCCGTGTGTGCGCGCCACTTGGGTTCGTCTGCCCGGTTTGATTGAGCTACTGCTAATCAAGACCTTGTTAATCGAGCTCAACGCTCACCTCACGCTAGCATTAGTGTTTTTAAGCTATTTTTTCATGTTCTGGAAATCGCAGTTCTTCTTCCTCATTTCTGCAATGAAAATGGATTAGGAAAGCTAGCTTTGGGGAAGTTATAATTAACACCTGGATTGTTCTTTACTCTTGAGTTACTTGGATGAATGCAGGGAAGGACGGCTGCAACAGTGCAGCATCACGGGGGCGGTACTAGCATTTCTTCTTGGAAAAAAATCTACGTTACCTCCTGAACTATTGGTGTTTGTCTACTTAACCACCTGAAATATGAAACCAAGTAGGAGTATTATATCCTTTGAAGTAATGTAAACCGGTTGAAATACCCCATGTAGTGGTTTTGTAGGTGGTTTTGCCATGCAGATGATAATATGGCAGTGCTATTGCTTGCATGACACAAGATCGGTCGATATGGATTAAACCCAAGTTGATCCAACGCTCCTTTTTTTTTTCTTCACTGATTGACGAGCCTAAAATTACATATTAACACAAATGTAAATCATTGTCAAACTGTTTTTCTTGTGAAAAATACTTAACCCACTCTGTAACCATGTCATTGCCCCATTTATAGTCGACATGGCCAAAAACACCGGTCCACCGCCATGTCATCGTATAAACAACAAAACTACCTATAAAACAGCTCTAGGGTTTATTTCTATCAGTTTATATACTTCATTGGTAGAATACCTAGTTTCATAGTTAAAGGGATTAAGCAAACCAATCTCAATACTTTATGGAGTGAAGTAGATATTTTACTTTCTTGTTTAAAGTAATCTTTAAACAAGCAGGAGCTCTTCTATTCCAATTGATAGAAGAAGAGAAAAGTTCCTAAGAAGCATGCTATATATATATATATATATATATATATATATATATATATATATATATTATTTGCAAATCCCAAGGCGGCTTTAGAAATCCATTACCTGGTGTAACGCGCACTTGCAAATTTGTTTGCGATTAACATCACGCTTCTGCGTCAAATTGTTCTAGGTTCTTGTGCAGAGAATAAACTGTTTCAGGATGATGCTTCTTTCATAACCTTACAATTCACTTGAAATCAGCATCACCAGTGTATGTGCACTAGTTGTTCCTTATAAAAAGTGTTTTCGTCCTCTTTCATGATCCTAGTTCTCCGTATCTTTTATGCCAGAACAACTCTTTCATCTGATAAATATATTCCAGTAGTACCTTTTTATCTCTCTCCTTCCATTTTTTCAGTTGAGAACTCTCCCACTTCAGCTTGCATGTGCAAGTTGTTTAATTGTATTTTAGGCCTCAGGGTATCCTTTTCTCTCTAGTCAGCTCTGCTCATGTTCATGCCCCGTTCTCTAAAATACCTTCTCAAACTGGATTGTTTCTTACCTTATACTACCTCCATATTTTAATGTATGACGCTGTTGACTTTTTGTCCAACGTTTCACCATTCGTCTTATTCAAAAAATTTATATAATTATCATTTATTTTATTGTGACTTGATTCGTTATCAAATGTTCTTTAAGTATAACATAAATATTTTTATATTTGCACAAAAATTTTGAATAAAATGAATGGTCAAACATTGGTCGAAAAGTCAACAGCGTCATACATTAAAATACGGAGGGAGTATATTCTATTACTCAAGGATGTAGGCAAGGACGGAGCTAGAACGAAATGAAGGGTGGTGTCACTTGCTTAATTTACTCTACTACTTTAAATCGAGTTTAAGCTGATGCGGGTGCCTAAGTTTGTATTGAGGGAGTACATACATGGTGAAAATAGATGAGATATAGTTAAAAAAAAATTGATCGGGTTTCTTGGCATCCCCTAATATACTCTACCTCCGCCCCTAGATGTTGGAATCATCTCTTTCCAACATCTCATTTTTCTCAAGCGCCAACTCTCTCGAACCATCTCTCCAACATCCAGGAATATGTGCCCTTGTGGGGCCTAAATTTTCTTAGGCCCATGAAGAAAATGCAGAACCCTGCCTGGGAATAAGTTCACTTTGGGTCCCTCTATTTGTCGCCCAGTCCAATTTCGTCCCTTGACCGCAAAACCGGATACAACCCGTCCCTCAACTTACGAAAACCGGGCAAACGAGGTCCCTCGGCAGTTTTGATAGCGGTTTTGGTTGACGTGGCGCCTACGTGGCTAATTTGACTCGGTCTTCATCTAACGTGGCGCTTGCGTGGCAATTCGATCCGAAAAAATAATAAAGCCCGTGGGACCCACATGTCATTTTCACACATAAAATAATAAAAAAATAGTGGGACCCACGTGGACCCCACATGGCATGCTCACCCCCCTCATCTTCTTCCTCCCTCTCCATCTCCCCTCTCTCCATCTCTCTCCTCTCCTCTCTCCAGCCTCTAGGCGCCACGGCTCACGGGGTCAAGGGGAGGTCCGGTGGTGGCGGCCGGCGATGCGACAGCCGCCGGCGGCGGCGAGCTCCACCTCTCGACGCAGCCATGCAGCCGCGCGTGTTTCTGACCCCCCGCGCGTGTGGCTGTCTGACGGCGTGGGCGGCATGGATGGATTCATGGATCTAATCCCGCGCCAGCACGTAGCTCCCCCGCGACGCGACGTGACGGCTGGCGACGTTGCTCTCACGCCTCAGCTCGTTGGGGTTTTGAGTTTTGACCACCGGAATGAACTTTGTTCTGATGCAGTTCTTGCTAATAATGCCTTTACCTACTCACCTCTCGTCAGTAACTGGTAATTGCTAATTGCTCACAGATCATCACTTAGCTGCGGATGGCCATCATTAATTCTCAGTGTAGCACTGTGTTTTTCACAAGTCGCAATGCAACAGTGTATGAACTCTCGAAGCCTGTAAATTACTCCCATGCATGCATGGATCACTTGTCGATCGATTAATTAATTAAAAGGTCTTGTGCTGCATCATCTACATCATGGCTAGGCCGTAGTACATTGTGTAAGCACAGGACTTGTACAGTTTCTCTCATGCAGTCAGTAGCATTTACACGCGTACGTTAGTACGAGTACTCAATTTACGGTAGCTCGTATGATTCAGCCGATGAGTCAGATGGAATCGATCACCTAATCTTGAGTTCTTGACCCCTCTTCGACGCCGACG